AAAAAAAAAAAAAAACGAAAGACTTGTATAAAACACAACAATAACAGCGGATGCAATGACCTCGACCAAATATCGAAGATTACGCAGCCCGTCCGGAACTATGTGTAACGAGACGATACACTTAACATCGCGTAGTAATGTAACACCGTCCCGCCACAGCGCCATCTGTTATAGTGCGGCAGAAACGGCGTCAACATAGTTTGAAAAAAACCTTATTAACTAGGTGAATAAAAAAAGCCCTTATGAAAATAGCAATAAATATTCTTTTCGAACCTAAGTTCCATGAATTGAGAAACTAAGTTCATGAAATGTGTTTCCGAACTTGAGTTTAACTCCATCGCAACTTAGGTCAATCTAACACTAATGAATCTCTAGTTAGGTAACGATTAAATAAATGGGGAGTTCAGAAACCCAGCATAATACAAGAAAACATTTATAGATAAACCTTTGGTGCGTAGGCACGTTCAGGTCGCGAGGCGTGAAATCCGATTTGTCGCCGATGTAACGAGCGAGCGCCGCGCGCCAAGCCGCCAGCCGTGCCCGTCACTTAATTACAAAAGTAATTGAAAAAAGATTTCTCGCTTTAATTTAAAGTCTTATTCAATTTTCTTATTAAATCATTTAAATTGTGATACGGTATCATTTAAAGACTTATAGCTGACTAATAAAGTAAAATATTATTTTCCATATACTATCTTACTTCTTGCTAATGTTATAAATGCAAAAATTTTAAATGGATGTTTGTTAGAACGGCCTAACGGTACTCGTTGAAATTTGGCATAGAGGTAAAACATAGTCTGGAAGAACACATAGGCTACTAATAAAGTTTTTTCTTTAAATCATAAAGAAAATAAGATGTAATGTCGCGTACGTCTACAGCTTAGAAACAAAAGTTAATTCATTAGAAAACTGTCTATACTCAAATTTACTGTTTATATGATTTATACTATGTATCAGCTGTTTAGCTAACATTTTTGTAATACATTTACTAGCTGTTGTTCATGACTTTGTCCACGTAAAATTAAAAAATAGTAAAAAAGTACAGCCTATGTTATTTAATGATGACGTAGATTTCTATTGGTGAAAGTTTTTGAAATCGGCCCAGTAGTTTTCGAGTTATTTCAATGCATACGAAAATACAAATCTATCCTCTTTATAAGATCAGTATAGAATAGAGAATATAAGATATTAGTAGACTACAATTTCAACATAACTATCAAATAACCGTTCGAGCATTAACAAGTTCCTAAAATTAAAGTACATTTAATTAAATCATGGTACATTTCAATTACTAAGTTACTGAAGTAAATAGCTCCGGGCATGCACGAATTAAGTCTTTAGTGGTTTCAAACTAGTTGACGAATAATTAAATTAAGCAATATCTGTTCTCAAATATCTTGATGAAGTTTCTAATTGAATACCTTAATTAAATTGATGTAGAAAATCTAAAACTTGTGAACACAATCTTATTTTGAAGTTAAAGATTGAATTGTTAGATATTTCGACACAAATGACTTCCTTTATAGACGGACGGCCATATTAATAATGCTTGTAAATTACTTTAACATACAAACTGCACTCCAAGGCGACATCGTAAAGATATCGAACGTTCTGTGGTAATGACTAGAAAAGTACGGAGCTTTTTGGCGACTGAGGGCTGAGACTGTGACTGAGCGCCCGAGCCACTATTTGCCATATTTTATAAAACTACCACCCATTCCTTTCCTTTCTAATATTTTCCTTACAATATTGTTTTAAATAAAGATAAATAGTATTGATAAATAGCTCAGATTAAGAAATAACTTTTAATAATACAGAATATATCAAAATAGTTAAAAAGCTAACAAAATCTTATAGCAGATTTTTTTTATATTTTATAGAAAACTTTTCAACGTTACTTTTTGTCATAGCAACACAAAGTACAGTACAACAAGCAAGTAGTGTTATCTCTATTTTCACAAATTGAATGAAAGTGACTATAATTTTGATGTATCAAGTCTTGCCTATCTTCTTTCATATATATCTTCCGATTTTCACCAAATTTGAAAGGAATAAATAACAAAAATCCATAATAATATATTTATTATTTAAACAGTGTCGCAACAAAGTTTTAATTACTTACAAGTGCCCAGTACTACTGCCATAACATATACAATTATCAAGTATGTTTACAATTCACATATAAGTCGTGAATATATTGAAATATAACTATGTATAAAGAACAATTCGCCAAGAAACACGTAAAGTGAATCATCTATTTCTGAACATAATAAAAAAACTTAAACTAATAAAGTAACATACATTTTTTTATAATTTTCGATTAACATAAACTTATAAGTTATAATGAAAATGGAAAAACGAGATATAAATACATAGATGTCTAACACAATTCAACAGCCCTACACCCGAAATTATACAAAAATATTTTTTTTTATTTTAAAGGAATGATTAAATAATTTTTTCGCATATAGTTGTTCATCTCATTTATATTGTAATATTTTCATATTAAAATAGCTTCATAAGGCCAACAAAATAAAGATATTTTAAAACATTTTACTATTTCTCTAAATTAATTGTGTGTGAAAACATACCTGCCTCATTACAGAGATGTAAGAATTTTCATTTTTAATTCATTCTTTCAATTGTTTTAATTTTACGAAGACACTATATTTAATTCAAAAAACCTTTGAAATAATATGATTATTTATGTATTTAAATTTTAAAGAAGCAAAACATGATATTTATATGCAAACATCTATGCGGAAGTTGAGCTTTCTACAATACATAATAGTACATTAAATAGGGTCTTAAATACATTTGTACATGTTTGAACAGAACACAAAAGGAAATTATTTTTGTACATAACTCCGCTGTAACTAAAATAGCTATTTACAGAGATTATTTACCACACAATTTGTTTTTTTTTTACACAAAAAATGTTAACATTTAGAATACAACATGATTGAATACCAAAAATGCAGGGGAAATTCGAGTTACATTATAGCAGCCACACTCTGTTCATTTTTTAATGTTTAAACTAAATGAGAAAAATGACTTTCTGTATAGTTGGAGAGTGTTGTTCCTTTGTGTTACTGTAATATAATTGAGAATGTGTACTACATATTATCTAACGGTAATCGCCACTAACAAACTTTATTTTCAAGCTGCAAATTCTACCACTACTAACTCTACTTACATAAGAGTTACAACATATACATATATTTGATATATTTATTTAATGAAATGTTAATATACAGTAGAACTGATAAGTTAAAGTCCAAGGGAAACACAAAAAAAATTGAGTTTTAGAGATTTTAAGTTATCAAGGGTCTATGATGTAGAGGTTTTGGGCTCTGATGGGAAGGGAACATATTATTTTTTGAAGTTACTGAGGTTTGAGTTATCGAGGTTCTACTGTATTTCAACATTGGTTTATAGTCTTTTAACATTAAGTATTTTGTAAGTATTGTGCAACACACTAACCTGCCTTAAGTATATCAGACAACAAATTACAATATCTCCCTAATGTCAGAAATCCATTTAAAATTGTACCCAGTTTTGTTGATTGGCAGGCGTCACTGGCTTCTGAGCGGTGGCGCTGTGAAAGACATTAACAACTGTACAGTTACATTAACACTAAACAATTGTAAGTTAAAAAAATTGCTTTTAAACAAATAAATGTTTGTTTATCAATCAAATAAAATCATTGTACTTCTGTCAGGCAGATAAGAGAGTAAACCGGTTATACAAAGTTAAGTTTGAACTGCATATTATTTTAAAACTTTTTTGATAAACTGCAGTTCTCAAAAGTTCAGTTATTACGGAAGAAAACTACACAAAGTAATTGTTCAAGTACAATTACACTGAGTTCGGCAGATTGTTTTACATGTAAAAAGCTATGTTACCTTGCAGAATTGAAGTCTCCCCATTCAGAGGTATTAGCCGGGGCAGGTCCACCGGGGGTAGGGGCAGGAGCGTGCTGCGGTGATGGTGGCGGCGGTAGACGCGAGCCACCCGGCGGCGGAGGCAGTAGCCCACCCACTGACATGCCGCCTGCGCGCTTTGTCCGACTGCCTTCACTGCCATCCTTCTTCTGTATTATGCAATAAACATACATGTTGTTACAAAAAGTACCTCTTGACAAATTAAATTCCCAAATAAAAGTTATGTGTTTATGGAGGGAAAATAGACCTTTGTGAATGCAAATTATACTCTGCTCCAAAACTTAAATAGGTCAATAAGTAAATGTTCATTTAATACTTACAGTAATTTTCATATTGATTTTAATGGTTTCTCCATCTTTAAAACCAAGATCAAGATTTTGCTGCTGTGACTGTTCACCTTCTTGTTCTTTCTTTAGCCATTTGAAGTGATCTTGTAATGCAACATTAAGATCAAATGAATCCGATCGATCACCAAAGCCTAAGCCTATGTAAGCACTTCGGCCTGAAAATATAACAAAACATTCATCATTAGATTTGTTTTAATAAATGTATCAAACATATCAGGATATGCTTGATGGTTTTAAATGACATAGAGATTCAAATATTATTATCAAAAATTTACTTTTAAACATAAGCAATATTAAATACTTTGATTTTCATCTTGAATGAAATATATTCAATTAACAATACTTTGGGTTTTCCTACCATTGTCATCTTGGATTCTAACGACAAAGTATCTGGAACTATCAGTTACAGCTTCCAGGGCCAAACCCGGGTATTTATCAATAGGACATTTCGCAAATAATTCTCCGGTTGTTTTGTCCTCCAACTTCATTATCAACTCGTCGCCTTTCGCAACCAAACGCATCCGCCCCGTCCATTGAGGCTCTTGTAAATTCCAATCTGCTGCCCTAAAAAATAATTTAAGTTTACGTACTAAAGGTCGTATTTCATAAACAAATATAGAATACTTTTGTTCCTTACCTGTACCCTCTATTTGAAGTTCGTGGTGGGATCTTAAAAACGAACACCTCATTCTTAACAAGTATCACACTTTCGTACGAGTCCATTTTAAGTAATCGATCTTCCCTTTTGACTTGCAACTTTAACCGCAAATTCAAATTGCACAATAGTAATTCGTACAATTTTAAAGGCAAATAAGTAGAATGATATTTAACAATACACTACTTTACACTGTTTCTATACCTACATATTTTTACAATTTGACAAAGTTGACACTGTTTCGTATAATTTGACATTAATGACGTGCTTTTTACAAATCTGACAACTGAACACAGAGTTTGGATATTTTTTTTACACTAAAGAAACAAAAAAATATCGCTTTGTGATGTTCCCGTGTGAAAAGTAAGCAAAAAAAATTACATAATTACCATATACCAATCTTAATTAAAATACACGACAAAAAGAATTTTTGATTCAATTCCCATCCAGTTTTTTCCTCCTGTCAATGTAAAATCAGAACGTTTTTGATTGGGTTTTTGACTTTGAGCTTTGAAGTTGTCAAAATTAAGTTTATTGTAAAGTTAAGATTGGTTAATAACTAGCTTTAACTCAAAACAATAAAAAAAAAGTATTAAATAATTATTTTCTTCGTGGAAAAACGCACATTAAGTAATTATAAAGTAATAACGTTGCAATTACAGGTAAAAATATGAACTGTTAAATTAAAATAGTATTATTATTAATTTATATCATATAGATAAAGTTGTTTCTTTTATTTTCCAGGCATTGAATAATGGCATACAACGTAAGTTAATCTCTACCCATTGAATTGTCATCCCATATTAATACCAAGCAATTTTAAGAACCAAAATATTCTCTAAGTTAAAAACAAATGTTTTTAACAAGATGCTATGTAATTAATGCCATTCATGTTTAGCACAATTTCTGAAAGTACCAGCAAATAATTATACAACCCCAAAAAATAACCACATATTTTTTAAAATAAGATCCCTTACAATCAGTACTTGTGCTAACATTTTTTTTCAATTTGCTTTAAATTATAAAGGCTTACAATGATTACTTGTTGGTATAGTACTAGTTACTTGGTTACTCTATACTTGTAATTTACTAATTTTAAACAAATTCATTTTAGCTTAGTTTTTGTGCTTCAGCTAGCAATGCTATGAGCTATCCTCGGTAACTTAAACCAAATAAGTGATTATGAAGTAGAAAATGAAGGGGCTTCAATGTTTTGAAACAATGTCGAAGGGAAATTAGTACTGGATTTTAGATTAGATTTTAAATTCAATTACAGTTGCATTCCAGCATTGATATTGATTGCTGGACTGTAACAATGTAAACCAAGCTTTAATTCACTTTAAATTGCTTGCTAAGTCTGTACTATGCACTATGTCCTGAATTAATAAATTCATTGCCCTACTAAGATTATTTACACAGTTATTTACTCTCATATTCTTGGGTCTCTCTCATCACATGGGTCTTATCTTTTTCGATGTTTGAAATATTTAGTTTTATATGTTAATGCCAAATGATTGGTAAGGTAATATTTTATATGATATGTAGGTTTTTTATAGATGATCTAGGTTCTAGATACCTAGATCTAGAACCTAGATCAACTATCTAGGTGTCTTACAGTCAGGAAAGGTTTTTTTTATTACTAATTCACAAGTAATAATCTAATAATATACATATGAATACAGAAGCTAACATTATAACTGAATATTTCAAAATTAATTGTTTTGTTTTGGAAACACCTTGAACTATATAAGTACCCGTTTATTTAATTATTAAATGTACCTTAAACAAAAATGTAGGTACTCTTGCATGTAGTCCTTTAATAAAAAGTGGACACGTCAATGACCTCGATTTCGTAAAAGAGAAGACGAAAAAACTTTATTCTTTTCAGTACGGTAACAGTGTTATGACTTAGATATTTCTAAATATAAATACAAATTAAAATATATGTTAATCTATAAGTGTAATTTTTTTTATATTCATGTCGGTGTTGCTGTTCATTGCATTGTATTTATAGTAACGCGCAGTTGGCTATGGCCATAACATCCATAGAGTTAAAAAAAAACAATGTAAAGAACATGGCGGTCAAGTCCCTATCAGTAAATATGCCGAGTTGTTTTACGATTACACTGTTTTTATATCGTGCAAAATGTAATTATAGTGTGAAAAAATATTAATTAAAGTGACCTTTTTATGGACTTTTCTTATTAACAATTTATGTTGACAATTATGTAAGAACAAAGACGCAATCCGTCTATCAATGGTTGGAGCAAATACACAAATGCAGAAAAATGGGAGACTCCCATTATTTGGTGTCGATTGTAGTATTATTGTTTGTGTTTCCGTTTTCCCTTCAAGTAGAAAATTATGAATGTCCGCAGAAATGCGATTGTCTCGAAAAATATGTTGATTGTTCAAACAAGAATTTACTTTCTGTCCCGAGAATTCCAGAGTGGGTGGAACAATTGGACTTAAGCTTCAATAGGCTAAGTGAAGAAGTGACAAAGTATTTTGACAAATTAATAGCTTTAAAAGTATTAAAGTTGGATAAAAATGGTTTGCATCGTATCCCTGACTTTCTCGAAGCGAACCAAATTGAGGAAATCAAGATGAATCGAAATGATATTGAATCGATAGATGTCGGGCACTTTCCAGCAAACAATTCAATCACTTCGTTGAGTTTAAACAGTAATCAAATAAAAGTGATTGATGAAGGAGCTCTAAATAATTTGACAAACCTAGTTGTCCTAAAGTTGAATCGCAATGAAATATCATCTCTGCCAAATCACTTATTCATGCATCAATCGAAGCTGGAAAATTTGGAACTAAATCATAACAAATTACATGTTATAAGTGGCCTGCTATTTCAAGATTTATCAAGTTTAACTACATTGAAATTAAAATTCAACAATATAGATATTGTAATGGATGGTGCCTTCTATGGATTTAAATCTGTTAAATCGCTGCAATTGGATCATAATAGGATTAAAGTTATCTCTAAAGGATGGATGTATGGATTAGAATCCTTGAATACATTATCACTTTCAAATAATTTAATATCTAAAATTGACTTGCATAGCTGGGAACTTTGCACAAAATTGGAAATGCTTGATTTATCCCACAATTACTTAATGGAAATAGAGGGACGAACTTTCCAATATTTAATTAATCTTCACACACTTAATCTAAGCTATAATAATATTTCATCTGTATCTCAGGAAGCCTTTCGTGATATGATACAATTGCAAACCTTATTATTAAATAATAACAAGATATCTTGGACTGTTGAAGATATGTCTGGTCCATTTTCCAAATTACAAAACCTGAAGGTATTTAATTTATCTGCTAATCATATTAAATCAATAAACTCCAGAGCCTTTGAAGGTTTAACTAATGTCATGGAATTAGATTTAAAAGGAAATGACATAACTTCTATCCAACAACATGCATTTGAGAAAATGACAAAAATCAAAAAGTTTCACCTCAATTCATCTTCTTTGTTATGTGACTGCAATTTACTGTGGATAGTTAAATGGATAAGAGATAAATTGGATCAGAAATTCATTACGGCAACCTGTGCATATCCATCGGAACTTCGTGGGGCTTTGATCTCCAAACTTAAAGAAGATAACTGTGGGGATTCTCCTAAGCCAAAAATTGTTGAACATCCTAAATCACATCTTGCTATTAAAAGTAGGTCCGCAAATTTGATATGCACAGCCACATCAAATCCTTTTAGTAACATGACATTTTTATGGAGAAAAAATAATGGTAATGTGAGTAACCCTACTGTTTATGAAAATGTTACAATGACTAAAAAAGGGCAACCACAAGCTACTTCCATTTTGGTGATATCAAATGTTACTAATGGTGATGCGGGTCGATATCAATGTGTTGTGAGCAATAAATTTGGGACAACATATTCTATGAAGGCCAAAGTGAATATTGTGACTTTTCCTCGATTCATAAAAACTCCTACAAATGTAACGGTTAAAACTGGAGAAACTGTTACATTAGATTGTGCAGCTTCTGGAGATCCAGCTCCTGAAATTTCTTGGAAAAAGGATGGAGGTAATGACTTTCCTGCAGCTCGAGAAAGGCGAATGAATGTAATGCCTTCAGATCCAAGGTTCTTTATAGTAAATGCTAAAACTACGGATATGGGCATTTACAGTTGTGCAGCTAAAAACCATGGAGGGACTATAATCGCAAATGCTACTTTAACTGTTCTACAAGAACCATCTTTTATAAGAGCTATGGAAAATAAAGAAGTTGTAAGTGGTGAATCTGTTGTTTTACAATGTATGATATCAGGTTCACCTAAACCAGTGTTGAAATGGCTAAAGGATGGAATGCCCATAGTGCATACAGATCGCCATTTCTTCTCTGGTGAAGATCAACTTCTTATTATAATTGGAGTTGAACCTAAAGATGCTGGAAAATATGAATGTGAGATTACAAATGAGTTAGGTACAAAAAAGGACACAATAGAAATGAAGGTGTTAACACCGGTTTCAATAATGGTGAATGAAGAAGATATGACAGGTATTATTATAATAACAGTTGTCTGTTGTGCAGTGGGGACTTCTATAATTTGGGTTGTGATTATTTATCACACTCGTAGGCGCATGGCACGAGCTGTGCATACATTTCCCAGTGAAAGTGTTAAAATGACACAAGTGGTTCATAGTGATTGTGATTCACCACAAATGTTCCCAGACAATTTATCTGAGCATTCATCCTGCAAAGATAGTGGAACAGGTGATTCAGCTAAACAAACAAGCTTTGACGGTGTGCCTACCGACAGAAGTGAACAAGTGCATTTTGAGACTGCAGTTTGCAGAAGTTACTCCCCAGTGCCTGAGGCCCATAAACTTTTGCCCTCCTCATTCAAGCCCTCTATACAAGTGTGTGTAAATACATCTGTAACACCAGCTACTTATAGTTTTTCTAGTCACAGTGGTAATGTTTAGATATATGTGTAAAAATATTAAAATATATTAACAGTGTTAGAATTTCACTAACTAGAGATTTCTGTAAATTCACATGTTTTTCATGAAAATAAATTTATTTGAGTGAATTTTAAAAACAAATTATTTGTAATATTTACTATAACAGAATCTCAAAAAAAATTCCCACTGTCTATTCCTAATATAAAATACAGAAGTAAGCAAATATCTCTAGGCAGTGAAACAGCATTAATCTAGGTATTTAAAATATTGATTGTGTAGTACAAAATATAACAAACTTGCCAGTATTGGTTTGATGTAAAAGACTGAATGTCGTTTATTTGTATGATCCTTGTTATTCAATAATATTGATAGGTAATAAAATAGTAATTAGATTTTAATTTATTTCTGTAATGACTAAATTTACTTAGTATTACAAGTGGACTACTGTTTATTATCTTTGTCATTTAAAAGATAACTTGTTTACAATGTGAGATTGTCATCTATCCTAATTTTTTTTATTTTATCTTGGTCAATATGGTTTAAGATGTGTTAGTAACACACAGAAAATTTCAATTAATGATAAAAATTTTGAATAACTGTAATCTAATTAAACAAAAAGAAATCATTTTCTTTTCTGTTTATGATTAACAAATGTATTGATTCATTTTTTTTAAAAAACAATAACTTTAAAGTTTGAAGGTTAGGAGTAAAAATTATAATAAGAGGAGATGAATAAACAATATTCAAAAAAATACAAAACACAAAAGTTAATCATAGCCCAAAATGTTTTTAATGATTTGCAATTACAAAAACTTCAATACTTCAAACAATGCTATTTTAATAAAACATTAGACTTTGTAATAAATATAAGAAAGTAATAATAAGTACTTAGCAAGTAAGTTGTAGATGAGGTGTAATGTTAAAATAAAAAGGAGTGAGATTTTAGAATATGGGCACAAATTACTGTTTAATTTAAAAACAAGTAGAGTAAGAATTTGATTGACTTATCTTGTTGAAACCCTTGCTTGACTAATTAGTAACAGAGTATGTACTAAAAATAGATTTAAAAAAAATACAGCGAACATTTAGTTAATAAGCTAAATTATTACTAAAAGAAGAAAAGTTTTTTGGAAGTATAACTATATACATTGTTATTTGATATTTTAACAGGATATTGTAAATGGTAATCAATATAGATTAAATGAGGCATATGCAGTGTCCTGACATGGTTATAATGCTTTCATAGGAAATACAATTGAACAATAAAATAAATGGCTTTAATTTCTTTCAAAATAGTAGACTGGATTATTTGTGTTGATTACATAATTACTCAATATGTTTTTTTCTTTCCTTTGAAACTATTTATATAGGATTGTTGTTTAGTTGGAATATTACGCACATTTCTATTTGTACGTTGTTTTTTTTCGGTTTAGTTGTTTTCTTAAAGAATTTTATCAGTAAATACAATTTCAAATATGTACACTCTATTGGATTATAAGACCTTACATTTACAAAAAATCCGTGTCGTAGTTACGTTTGAATGTTAGTATTTTGCGTGCTTTTACCATAATTTTTTAAGTAAATGCATATGGTTAATTAGCATTTGTAGTAAATGTTAAAATTAAGCAGTTTTGTAATATTTATACATTGAATTTAAGGTTACTACTATTTATATACTTTATAGAATAAAATCGTCCTTAAAACAGAACTGTTTTTATTTTATTTACAAAAATATACCTTTTTAGTAAGACTCCGTTCGCGCGGAGTTAAAAAAAAACAAAAGTGAGTAACCTGTGTTCTTCCAGACTACACATCTGTACCAATTTTCATCGATATCCGTTCAGACGTTAAGGCTACAAACTCTAACAAACATCCATCCATCTAAACATTCGTATGATATGGAATTCGTTTTATAGTATGATATGGAAAGCCAACCATTGATGTACTGGAAACTTTTCTAACAGGAACTAGATGTAAAGAAACGAGAGGCGTACCACAACTATTGCTAATGAAAATACTGTTAATTGTTAAAAATTGTGCTGTTGTGTTTAGCCAGGTTACGGTCAGCCTAACTACGGTGGCCAACCCGCTGGCCAACTGGAAATTGGCCATGGTCCATACCCATCTGTTGGACCTACAGGTGGGGTATCACCACAAGTACAGCAGTGGTTTGCAGCGGTAGATAAAGATCAATCTGGATTCATATCAGCAGCCGAATTAAAGTCTGCCTTGGTGAATGCTCAAGGCCAAAACTTTTCGGACACTGCATGTCTACTGATGATTGGTAAGATTTTCATTAATTTAATACTAGTAACGAGTTTTTTTTTTCTCTATTGACACATTCCAATTAGATTTAGCGTAACTTTAATTTTTATTGCCTGAAGCTTCAAGTAGAAATTAACTTCTAATGAATTATTTTTGACTCGTTACAGGAATGTTCGATAAGGATCGTTCCGGCCATATAAATCTCGAGGAATTTGACAAACTGTACACATATATAAACCAATGGCTTGCTGTTTTTAAAACATATGATACTGATCAATCTGGGCAAATTGACGAACAGGAATTGTCCAAAGGTAAAAATCTTTTTTTATGCTAGGGTAAATAGTGGCTCGCTTTGTTTTATTACTGTTATCTTTTTATTTAAACAAAAAAAAATATCCTCAAGTAGGTAAAGAATACGAGTTGAAAAGTGGAAACATTTGAAAATATTTTTTTTATGTTACAGCACTGACGCAAATGGGATTCCGATTCACGCCAGAATTCATCAATTTCTTATCGAAGAGAAGCGATCCGAAAACCGGAATGATATCAGTGGACAATTTTATTGTATTATGTGTTCAAATGCAACGTTTCACTGAAGCTTTCAGAGTGCGAGACACACAACAGAATGGAACTGTTACAATTGGCTTTGAAGACTTCTTGAATGTAGCGCTTAGTTGCTCTATATAACACAAAATCTCATTCAGATATCTAATGAATCTTCACTTAGCTATAAAACAGAAAAATGGGTTTAATAAACTGCACATGGTTCTCATGGAAGCCTTTTTTATTAATGTTGGCTACAAAAGCGAGCAAACCTCAAGATTTTCTTTAATTTTACAATTGACATAAACCATTGCTTTAATTTTTTATTCCATAGCTTAAAGCTAGATAAACAAATAAATGTAAGATCTGTTAATAAAAAAAACTTAAAAACACATTTTTTTTATTTGATGGTTCCTATTCACATATATGTTCAGTTTCTTCATACTTCTAAAAATCCAGTGTTGTATCTGAAAAAAAATTGTATCTTTAATTATACAATATCACTTAGTTTAACAATACACTAAGGGATTACTTAGGGCTGTTAAAGACCTAAGTGAAGCTATAACTAACTATAGTTCTGTATTTGAATGAATGCATGAAAAGAGGATATTTCTACATGTTCCATCCCCTGCTCAAATCCATGTTTCTTTCCCATCATCATAAAAAGAATAAGAGATAAGAATTAAAGCGGATTTTCATTCTTATTCAATTTATCTTGTACTTAAATGTTTACGTATTGAACTAAAAATATGAAATTACTCACTGGCAAAATTTCTTTTTCTCATTGCTTCAGCCTTCTCAAGGGAGAAAACTACTTCTTGAAAATTCTTCACAGCATTTCTCATATGATTCTGATGTTGTACATTATCAGGTGAACTGTCGTCCAGTAATGTGTGAATTGTTGGTACTTCGTCTAATTTTATATTCCTTACATTATTAGGTTTGAACACAATTGAAACTTTGCCAGTCTTAGGATGAATACTAAATGGTGATTTGAGAAGGTGATTAAACCCTTTTGTGACATTAACATCTAACCGTGGATAACAGAATTGTATTTTTATTTCTTCTATAAGATATTTAATTTTTCTTATAGCACTTCCATTCTAAAAAAAAATAAATATTGTGTGACGATATTTTACAGATATCCATAAAACTGCTATTAAACTCTGAACTCTTAAAAATTAACAGTATGAGAAATGTGCTAAATAATAACAACAACTGGCTTAAAAACCAACATACTTCTCTTAAATATGAATCATAAATACTAATAAATGCTTTCCATCTTTCCAAAGAAGATTCAGGCATTTTTTCCAAACTTTTTTCCACTTGTTCTTTTAATGCATCTTCAGGGATCATTTTCAGGAATTTTTGTAATCTGCTTGTTGTTCCGAGAAATTCTTGATCTTGTATTACATCATCAAAATATTTGTCAATAATACTAACAGCTCTTCTGTAAAATTATAAAATCTATTATTAATAATATTATCAGCAATCATCTTTATTTAAAGGAAAGATAACCAGGAATATTTAGATGTAAGTAAAGTATTTTTGAAATACAACATGACTTTTGCTGTAACCCAGGGGGGTAGGCAGACTTATGTCCTGATACACTTCTTTCCATTCTACATTCTATTCTTATTTCTAAATTTAAATATTAAATACATGATGTCATCATTTCTATTATAATTACCTGATGCTTGTATGTAAATTATCAGATCCTAAATGTACTTTTTTATTCTGATTATCACCTCCCATTATCAAACAAAGATAATCAGCTATGGCCGCTCGTCCAGGACTGTCTAGAGTTCTTGCTTCATAATCTGATACCCAACAATGAATACCTCGTCTTCCAGAGAATACCCATAGTATATTTTGAAAGCCAAAGTCATCTGAAATGTAAACACAAATGTACATATAGACTAAAAGTACATATGGTATAACATATCTAAATGTGATGATTGTGGACATTTAGTGTCATATTTATAACATGAGCTTATTATCTATATTTACCTTTCAATGATTTATGAATTATTTCACAAGCGATAACCATGAACTTCCAACATTTATCACACACTTTAGCTTCCTGACAACATGTCCGCACTTCATCATAATCTGTTAAATCAATATCAAAAACTAACTCTCTTGCTAAGACTACTGCATCATGCCTAGATATTGATGGTCTGTAAAAAATAAAACATTTTTTTTATTGCTGTATAAACCAGCGGTTGACCACAATTCCACCTGGAGCAAAGAGAAGATGTGGTCGAATGATGGTAAGCTCAACATGTTTATACTAAAAATTACAAGCTGCATAATAAAGTAAATTACATACTTGTTATTATACACAGCACCAATATCTAATTTGTGGGGGCATTTCTTTTGAAGCAGCGTCTGAAATTCTTTCTGATCATTTATTGATAAAAATCGTATATAAACATCATCAGCTAATGTAAATGATAATTCCCTGTTGGACAGAGGTTGTGGACTGTTTCCACAAGCGAGCCATCTGCAGAAAATATTTTGAGGAAATAATCTTGTATAGTAAACTGGGAGCATGTCCGAAAGCAAATTTTCATCATGACCCACCTGAAAGAATCGTAAATAGCAAATTTAGTAACAACAACTTGGGCAAACTAAATGTTTTTAGTAAAAACCACTTACCATATTTTTCAGGGTATCTACAAAGTAGTTATTTCTTAAGTTGGTCTTTATTCTTCTTGGATATAGCGTATTTTTATTACAAAGTACACTATGGATACGATTTTTAAACACTTAAATTTCACAAATAAAAGTACCTTATTTTATGTCAAAATCGTTTGTCTTTGGATTTGGCGGGAATCTGAATCGTATTTTATTCCATGAAAGGCAAAAGCTGTTCAACATTCAGCCAAAGTCCAGAGTTTGGTCCCAGACAAATCCAAAAACATAAAATGTGGTGGATGAATCAATAAATCTTAATAACGTGTGTATGTTTTATTTTACTATTAATTTTTCTTTACATTTCATTAAAATTATAATACACAAAAATAAATTAAATCAAAATTAAGGGTACCCTACATACATAATATTTTGCATCATTGTATCCCATAGAATTATTTCATTTTTTCCTTTGTTATAACTCTACGATAGGTTGGTTTACAACAAAATGGAACTAAATATAAGAAAGAGCTTTATTATTGCTGCAATACTACCATGGTGTAAGATATATTTCATTGTTATCTAAAATGTTTTATTTGATTGAGTCTTAGTATTTTAATGCAATTTTTACAGGTTCAATTTCTGATTATTGTGAAAAACTGTCAACAAATATACAAGAACTGACGACAACAGTAGTGATGATATTTATGACAAAACCCTTGATAACATCTTTGTTAGTTTTAATTACGGCATGCTTCTTAACGATACCCCTTTTTATTTCATTTACGCTTTTGGCTATAGTTATTGGGATTATAGTTATTATTATCGTGGTGGAAGGTAAAGTACATAACTTGGATTTTTTATTTTATGTAGTTAAAAATGTAACTAATCCCTTCTATTATTTTTTTCAGGTGTAATAGTGCTTGTCATACTTATAGTAATTGTGCAGGGCATTTTGATTTGTGTTCTAATTATATCTGTTGTGTCTTATACAATTTAGCATAGTATTAAATAATTAATAAAAACTATGTCATTTTATTACAAAAAGAAACAAATGGAGTAGTAATACTTTTCATTTAGATGATCGTTTTAAAAACCACTCCTACTCAGGAAAACTAAGCAGAGGCCTATTATCATGCATGACAGATTTTAAAAAATAATTCAGAATAAAACCCTTTCAGATTTAAAATTTTTAAATGTCGTTCAAAAATATTTTTATTCTGTTCCGCGAATGTATCGATTGAAGTTTGTATTGTCTGTGGAATTTCTCTAAAACTTATCTTTCAAATTCAATCTTTCAATGAGAATGGAGAATGGAGAACTAAAAACGACCTTACTGACTTACACTGACTTAGGTAACTCGCTGCATTGTATTTGCAGTGTTGATTTTCAAAATTTTGCATGTGCCGATTTTCCTTATCATTCATAGTGTCTTAGTGTTGTGCTCATTACAATGGAAATTTATATACAAGGTCAGAGTTCATGGTGGCATCGATGATGTAAATATGACTGTAAGTACTGGTGTTCTCGTCACTTGTAAAATGGGCATTGCTTAATTTGAGTCAAAACCTGTAACGTTTAGTCTCAAGTTATGAAATACAGATATTTTTTTTTCATACATCATTCAGTATCTCGTTGTCGCTATTAACAAATCCTTCTAAGATGAGATTTACTTTTTATCCATACGGCTGCAAAGTAAACAAAGTCAAAATATACAACATAGATCTGGCTGGTTATAGATCCTCCAAAGAATAACGACAATATAAAAATGGACCTACTTATGACTGTTTACAATTCTTAGTGAATCATCATCCTTTTTCAGGAATCATCTACATATAAGGCCAAAGAAGCCCCGGAAAATTAGATCTGTAAGTATTTTCATTAGATTTTGTTATAAATATTCATAGAAGCTATCATACATTGTTTTACACTTTTATGAGACATTATTAAATCATTATTGAAATAGTTGTTAAGTTACTTGTCATTTTTATTAATCAGATATAAAAAATCCATTGTTAAAATACTAAGGATACAGATAAGAGAAACTTATAAGTCCTATAAAAAGTAAAGTAAAATTATAGTGTGTATAATTTAGTAATTTAATAAACTGCGTAGTAATATCCAGTTACAATCCAATTTCTTTAATTTATAATACATAACAAGTAAAGTGTACATAAAAGAAAAGTGGGAGCACTAATTGTATATGTCAAGTTTAGTTTGTTCAATATGTTTATAGAAAATTGGAAAGTCATATCTATATTGATAACATCATAATTGCTACTCTAATGTAACATAAATTATGGTTTTTGCACAGTGAAAGTATTGATGGTACACCATTTTTTGTTTGGTTAGATACAATGACACTTTCTTATTACATAGAATATTTATTTTCATTCCATCCACATGTGAGTTTTCAATATTTGTAATCTTTTTTAATATGTTTGATAAACCTTTCAGTTTAGCATAACTTATGTTGTTTATTATAGATTATTGTAATAATATCTTAGTTTGTTTAACTATGCAGTAGGAATTTCTGATATTTATACCTCACCTGGAGTAACAAGATAACCTAAATAATGTGAAATAAATGTTACTTCAGTTATGATTATTTAGCGAACATCATGGTAACTTGAAATGTACCAATATGTTCTAAATATTGAACCTCTTTTGCTCTGCATCTTTTCCTGATTTATTTACTTTTAAATCAAGTTTAAGTTATTATCTTATTAGGCCTTTAATATTATCTGATTTGTTTTTTGTTTTATTGGATAATAGCTATCGCCTGCGAATCACAGAAAAAGTGAGTAGACTATGTGTTTTTCCAGACTGTCCTCTATATCTATACCAAATTTCATAAGAGTCTGTATAGCCGTTTAGTGTGAAGTACGACTGTTAAGAATGTTAAGCTAATAAGGTATGTGTTGTAGGGCAGTTCGTCAAGCTGGCGGCCTTCCAGGATGCGGCTCGCGCGCCTCCGCTAGTCCCGCGCGCTGTACGCCACGTCGCCACGATCACAGGTAACTTAGCACAGTTGTATCTACTTCAGGACATAATTAGATCAGATCAGATTGAGCTTTAAAAAGGATTCATCGCGCTTTTTTGTTTATTACAAAAAAAAATTAGGCATGTTCCATAGAGGATAGATTATATGGACTATTATTATTGGACAAGTGTCTGCTTGTTTTTCCGCTTCTATAAAATAAAGTACCAAACTACTATCATGGCTAATCTAGTTACGAGGTAAATTACGTCATTCTTTGGCGGAAGTGTGCTATAAGGCTGGAAACAGATTAAAAGCAAAAGTAATTAAATAACCTATAAGTAATGATTATATCTATGGTTAATTATTAACCCTTAAATTACTCTATTCACTCATATTGTAGCATAAATAAAAAAATTGCTTGTTTACTTAATATGTGTTATCAAGTGTGTTGCATATATAAGTGCATCAAGTAATATTTTGTGTGATTAATTAAACAAGCACTAAATGTGGCAAATTAGAAAATAATACGTGGCTTTTTTAAATTTCCACATAAATAAGGCGTGGTAGTTCGTTAAAACAGACTTGTTGATATTTGAATCACCGGTTTAAATGTCGTCATTTATTTTGGCCTTTATGATGAGGCCATTTATTGAAAAAGAATAATTTCATTTTGAATATGTAAAGTAATATTGCAACAATCGATTGAGATTTCACTTAGATGTTTCGGCAATGTGAACGCGAGGTAAGACTTTAATTAAAGTGTCACATGTAGACGTCGGGCGTAACGCGAGTTAATTGAAGTTAAGGACCGGTTTTTCGTCATAGCATTGCCAATTCGTATGACTCATGTCAGACTAACGCGTTAGTTAACGCGCATACATATGGTAACCAGTAGCAGGCAATAAAATTAAAAGTTAGAAACGTGTAGTTGTATAACCGTGAATTTTGACTGTCGTAAGACATGTATAACAACGTTACACTTATCTATGTTTTTAATCAGGATGAGAAGGATGGTAATGGGCTTTCATGCAGTTTTCAAAATATAAGAGATTTACAGGAAAATATATACTCCTGTGTTATTGCAGTCAAAAGTAATATAAGTTAAATATTTTTGTTTCTAGATATGTCACTGTTCATTTCTCATTTTTTCCGGTGTTGGCTTTTGTTTCTTATTTTTGTTACGTCTTCAACTTCCTGTTTCTAATAACGGGAACACAATTCCGCCACAGCTCTATTTAGGTCTGATGTCATCTATTGGCGTATTTTTGTTATATGTAAAACAATCACTTGAAAAAAAAAACAATGATCGGTAAAGTTACCCTGTACAAATACATCGCATCCTTCATTTTCATTCCTCATTAAAGTAGAGATAACAATTCTTTGGTAATAGTTTTTAGCCTCTTAAACCAACGTAAGGTAAACTTAACTTATCCACAATTTATTGACGTTTAAATTGTACGTAATAATGTTAAAACAGTATGAATGGAATTCCGGGAATAATTAATTTAGTAATGCGGGCATCGTCCTCATTTTATAGCCGCAATACATTTCAATGTGTGTCATCTTGTAACACAATAGTTGGCAATCGTCGATTTACAGGCCACTGAAATAGTTCACATTTTACCGGTTGGTCGTTATTTATTCGCGCATCTTTGCTATCTTGGCTTGGTATAAACGTATCTATACATGTAATAAAATTGGAGTGTCTGAAATATAAAAAGTAAAATGCCAGATTTCAGGAAGATGATGTATTTGCTTTGCTGATAACGAAAATCGCATTTAAAATTGTTTGTCTGCCTGTCAGTATGTCTCTGACCGCAAGCCGCGTTTGTTCCGGGTAACGTACTAAACGGCTGGGCCGATTTCGACCGGACTTTCA